CTGTCTCTTCTGGCTGTCTCTCCTCTCTCTCTCCTGGCTGTCTCTCCTCTCTCTCCTGGCTGTCTCTCCTCTCTCTCTCACTCCTGGCTGTCTCTCCTCTCTTTCTCCTGGCTGTCTCTCCTCTCTCTCCTCTGGCTGTCTCTCCTCTCTCTCCTGGCTGTCTCTCCTCTCTCTCTCTCTCCTGGCTGTCTCTCCTCACTCTCTCCCGGTTGTCTCTCCTCTCTTTCTACCCTGGCTGTCTTTCCTCTTTTTCATTCTGACTATCTCTCATCACTCTTCTCTCCGGGCTGTCTCTCCTCTCTCTCCGGGCTGTCTCTCCTCTCTCTCCGGGCTGTCTCTCCTCTCTCTCCGGGCTGTCTCTCCTCTCTCTCCGGGCTGTCTCTCCTCTCTCTCCGGGCTGTCTCTCCTCTCTCTCCGGGCTGTCTCTCCTCTCTCTCCGGGCTGTCTCTCCTCTCTCTCCGGGCTGTCTCTCCTCTCTCTCCGGGCTGTCTCTCCTCTCTCTCCGGGCTGTCTCTCCTCTCTCTCCGGGCTGTCTCTCCTCTCTCTCCGGGCTGTCTCTCCTCTCTCTCCGGGCTGTCTCTCCTCTCTCTCCGGGCTGTCTCTCCTCTCTCTCCGGGCTGTCTCTCCTCTCTCTCCTGGCTGTCTCTCCTCACTCTCTCCCGGTTGTCTCTCCTCTCTTTCTACCCTGGCTGTCTTTCCTCTTTTTCATTCTGACTATCTCTCATCACTCTTCTCTCCGGGCTGTCTCTCCTCTCTCTCTCCGGGCTGTCTCTCCTCTCTCTCTCCGGGCAGTCTCTCCTCTCTCTCTCCGGGCTGTCTCTCCTCTCTCTCCTGGGGCTGTCTCTCCTCTCTCTCCGGGCTGTCTCTCCTCTCTCTCTCCGGGCTGTCTCTCCTCTCTCTCCTGGCTGTCTCTCCTCTCTCTCTCCGGGCTGTCTCTTCTTGTTCTCTCTGGTATATTCTCCCCAAACAAATTGGTATTGCTGTTTGGGTTGCGCTTGAAGAAAAGGTGGCACCGCTATGTACGCCCCCCGGGAGCCTGCATGTGCACGAGTCCTTAAACACAGAGAAACAAGCTTCATACTTTCCAGATCACTTTCCGTTGCGTTCCAACATACCTGCGTTTCCATAGGGTTAAGGTATTTAAACGCTTTCCTCTAGACACAGGAAACCAGAATGCACCAGAACACAGCTAAACGCACGGTGTGAATGGTACCATTTAAAATTAATACATGCATTTATATGCATGTCCTATAAACACATGTATGCCCCGGCCTGCGTGAATGAGGCCACAACGGTAGAAAATAACGCGATAAGAGACATAAAAATAACACACATTATGCTGCATCCGGTTCCAGGTTGGTAGCAATGTCATGTGACGCAGATTGAACTTTGATCATAGCCGGTTATAGCCAAGGTAACATTGATGGGACGCATTCCTGCTACTGCGTCTACTGTCTGTGTGATTGCGGTTCACCTACAGGTTAGAAAGTAAAATTCCTCCCAGGCTGTATATATTCAGTGGAATTAAAAGATAATGGTAATGGGGTTGGTGGGGGCGGGGTGCAAGTTGTGTTATTTTATGTATTTTTGTCTATTATTTATTTGTACTTTTTGTAACAATTTTTTCTTTTTACTTTTTGTCACTAGGAGTAACAGGTCCTCTTTGTTCTGGAGACTCAGAACACTTGGTCTCCTTCTACCCCCCGGTGACAGGTCCTCTTTAATTATACATCAGGGGTCTAAGCATCCTGAGAGAAAAAAAAATTTCAGCAATGAGAGCGGCAAGAAGAGACAGAGAGGCCAGTTTCAAAGCGCCGCCGACCGCTGCCTGGACACCGCCGCAACCCTCCCAACCGTCCTCGTCCCGGCCGGCCTCGTCCCCGCCGCTACGATAGCCTCCGGTTCTCTTCTACATTTTATTTATCAAGGGAAGAGAACCACAGCAATTGCCGCTCTCAGGGAATCTGGCGCTCCAGGCAAACGCCTTGTTTGCCTCGCGGCAGATACGCCCCTGCCAGCAGTATGTGAAGGAAGCTGGCAAGCGGCTGAAGTGGGACGAAGTGTAAAAAAACTTCACGAATGAATGTGATCAGCAGGTTGGTAGCCACCAGGGTCTGCAATCTTGTCCCCGACGTCCTCTGACAGCTCTTTGGTCTTGCCCATGGTGGTGAGGTTTGAATGGAAGAAAGAGATTCTATGGACAGGTTTTCATTTATATACATAACGAGTTGACGTTAGGAGCACCTTCTTAAGGTCCCCACACACCTTACGATAATCGTACGATAATGACGGGAAATCCCGCGATCGTACGAGAATCGTGCAGTGTATGGAAGGCGTGCAATGGTTTCTACTGTACGGTCGCACGTCTTCCGTCGAACCAGCAGGCTAGAAAACCCGCCGGGAATCGTACGATTCTCGGCGAGTTGGTGGCCTGCTGGTCCGACAACTGACGAACGGGCGCCCACTGCCCGTTTGCCGTCCTCGCAAACCCGCCCCTCATTGCAGTCATCGTAAGTACGATCTGCCTGTCCAAGATGGGCAGATCGTACGTTTTTTTAAAGTACTTTACAACCCTCGCAAGACTAAGGTCTTGCGAGGGTTGTAAAGTGTATGGCCACCTTTAAGGTCCCCTAAACCAGCCGAAAATCATACGATTCTCGGCTGGTTTTCTAGCGTGCTCCTTAGACAAAAGACGTGCGACCGTACAGTAGAAACGGTCGCACGTCTTCCATACACTTTGCGACTATCGTACGATCGCGGGATTTCCTGCGATTATCGCACAGTGTATGGGCACCTTTAGGCTGGGCATACACCTTACAATTATCTGCAGATTTTCTGGGGTCAGATGGAAAAGGTGCAACAGATTCCTCCATCCTCCACTTAACTATGTGGATGGAGTAATCTCCACCTGGGCCAATCTGTTGCACTTTTTCCATCTGACCACAAAAAATCTGCAGATAATTGTAAGGTGTATGGGCACCTTTAGGCTGGGCACACACCTTACAACCATCGCAAGATGGTTGTAAGGTACTTAAATAAGGTACTGCGATGGTTGTAAGGTACTTAAAAAAACGTACGATCTGCCCATCTTGGACAGGCAGATCGTACTTGTGATGATCGCAAGCCGCGCCCCCCGAGGGGCGGGCTTCCTATGACCGCAATGCCGAACGGGCAGTGTGCGCTTGCGCACACCGGCCCGTCCGGCTTTTATCGTACGAACATGCTACACACCCGCCGAACATCGTACGATGCTCGGCGGATTTTCGAACATGTCCGTAAGTTAAAAGTCGTGCGACCTTACAGTAGTAGAGGTTCGCACGGCTTCCACACACCTTACCATAATCGTACGATCGCGGGATTTTCCCCCGATTATCGCAAGGTGTGTGGGGACCTTTAAAGTGACAGGACTCATCTGTGTACCACATGGTCAGTCTGTGGGAGGAGCCAGAATTATTGTTGGTTGGTAGGGGATCAAATACTTATTTTACTCACTGAACTGCAACTCCATTTATAAAAGTTGTGTCATGTGATGTTTTCCGGGTTTTTGGATTGATATTCTGTCTCTATCATTTAGAACACACCGATGATAAAACTTATAGACCTTTCATTTCTTTGTAATCTGCAAGGGAGCAAATCATTATTTTCCACACTGTATATACAGTATATATATATATTAATCCCCACTTACTGTCCTGGTGACACCCTGACGCTCACCCTGGGATGACCTATCTCATTACATCTACAGAACAAAAGCAGATGAGGATCTGCCATACAACCTTGCAATGCGCTGAGCTGAAATGATTATTTCTTTTCTCTTTCTCCGCGTTGCTCTGATTTGCCTCAGCATTTGATCCTGAAAATGATGAATAAAGCGTTGCCAGCTATGCAGGTCTATTCCGAAAAATGTTTTTCCTTCTCCTTTGGGTTTGGATGCGGTCAGCTTGGTCTGCGTCAATTATCTCATTTCATCTTAGGATCCTGCGGTTGTCACGACGTGTGTGAACTCGCACAGCTCGGAACACGTTAGGGCCAATTAAAAAAAGTGAGATTTCCAAAGTGCAATTAAATTCATTATCAGTCATCAGACCTCTCCGCTTCCTGACCTTCCTGTGTACAAACCATACAAATATACACTATATTGCCAAAAGTATTGGGACGCCTTTACACGCACATGAACTTTAATGGCATCCCAGTCTTAGTCCGTAAAGTTCAGTATTGAGTTGACTCCGATATATTTCCACTTTGTTATAATCCCAGTAACAGGTGACCGCGGAATATTTAGTAGCCGGGAAGTGTCACGGAACACCTGAATCCAATGATTTGGAGGGGGAGGGGCGTCCCAATACTTTTGGTAATATAGTGTATATTGAATTTCGCCGATTTCTTGGTGTGTTCGGAAAGCTCGGAGCTGGAGATACTTCTGCAGACATATTCCTTCCAATTGCAGCAAGAAAGTCAAACGTATGAAAGGTTGAACTTGATGGACCTGTGTCTTTCTTCATCCCCATATACTATGTAACTATGTGACTAGATGACAATAGACGACAATAGACGACAATAGACGACCTTCAGGTAAATGTGAATCAGAGTTCATGGAGCCGGTAGATGTGTTCGAGGGATATCAGAAGGTGACAAAAGGTTTGTGTGTGAAAGGGCAAAGAGTATCAATCGCTGAGCTCGGGGAATGCAGGATGGTGACCTTTGTGTAGATGTCATCATAGATGGAGGGGAAAGGCTCATTACTTATCAGCTGGCCATACACTGCTCCAATGTCAGCTGACTCAGACAAAACTCGGGCAGTGTGTGTGGCCCCGCTGCCATCCCCCTGACGTGTCACAGTAAATGGCAACAGTATCATTATTCAGACAAGTTCCACCTTTTATCAATCCTTGGGGCCCACTTCAGAGACTTTGCCTAGGCTGAGATGATGTCATAAGTCTGCTGCAGGCAGGAAGAAGCATTTCCTCAATCTCCCCTCCCCCAGTCATCAGTCTGCTGCAGGCAGGAGGAAGCATTTCCTCAATCTCCCCTCCCCCAGTCATCAGTCTGCTGCAGGCAGGAGGAAGCATTTCCTCAATCTCCCCTCCCCCAGTCATCAGTCTGCTGCAGGCAGGGGGAAGCATTTCCTCAATCTCCCCTCCCCCAGTCATCAGTCTGCTGCAGGCAGGGGGAAGCATTTCCTCAGTCTCCCTTCTTAAATACTATTTTACTACCCAGTGATCACTGACCCAGTGATCAGTCTGCTGCCGGCAGGAGGAAGCATTTCTTCAGTCTCCCCTCCCCCAGTCATCAGACTGCTGCAGGAGGAAGCATTTCCTCAATCTCCCCTCCCCCAGTCATCAGTCTGCTGCAGGCAGGGGGAAGCATTTCCTCAATCTCCCCTCCCCCAGTCATCAGTCTGCTGCAGGCAGGGGGAAGCATTTCCTCAGTCTCCCCTCCCCCAGTGATCAGTCTGCTGCCGGCCGGAGGAAGCATTTCTTCAGTCTCCCCTCCCCCAGTCATCAGTCTGCTGCAGGCAGGGGGAAGCATTTCCTCAGTCTCCCCTCCCCCAGTGATCAGTCTGCTGCCGGCCGGAGGAAGCATTTCTTCAGTCTCCCCTCCCCCAGTCATCAGTCTGCTGCAGGCAGGGGGAAGCATTTCCTCAGTCTCCCCTCCCCCAGTGATCAGTCTGCTGCCGGCCGGAGGAAGCATTTCTTCAGTCTCCCCTCCCCCAGTCATCAGTCTGCTGCAGGCAGGGGGAAGCATTTCCTCAGTCTCCCCTCCCCCAGTGATCAGTCTGCTGCATGCACAAGGAAACATTTCCTCAGTCTCCCCTCCCCAGTGATCAGACTGCTGCAGGCAGGAGGAAGCATTTAAGTGATTAGACTCTTCAGGTATATTTACATTTACCCCCAATTATACATTGTTTTTAGTATTTTGTTCCTTTGCTGTGGGTGATAGGATTCTGAGACAGCTTCCCTCCACATCATACGGAAAACATCCCATTGGTCCCTTCGCCTAGCTACGAGATGTCCCGGGCACACAGAAGTCGAGGAGAGGTCAGCGGAGGTTTTAGCTCATGCTCTACGGATGACCTTGACTCTATGGAAAGCCTGGACTAGTATGGGCCAGGAGCCAGATGGCACCGGAGTGTAAATATCAACCTTGGCTGCTGAACAAAGGTGACTTTTATGGCCCGCAGCTTTCAAAGGACATTTATCATATCACACGGATGGGAATAAAGTATCTGAGTGTATAGAGTATAAAATCATTCCCATTGTATGGCATGCAGCACGTCTGATACATTTGATTCCAGTGGCAGGGTATTGGCGCTGTTGGTTTCTGGCGTCCGGTATAGAGAATCCGTGTGAATAGAGTAGACGGTCAGCGTTTTATCTTGTACTATTAACCTTCTCCTATCTGAATACTCGAAGCTGAGCTCTGAGCAAACTGCTACTCTAACTATACAGATAGTTTGGGGTTCAGGTGATCCCCTTTATTGGCAAACATCCAGTGGCGTAACAACCGGGGGGGGGCTAGCCCGGGCGCAGGACTGAGGAGGGGCGCCATCACCGACCCCCGCTAAACTGGGACTTGTAGTTCCCTAACTTTAAGGATGCCAGCTTCAAGGATGCCCTATAGATCCCTTCTCCAGGCTTTATACAAACGTGAAAATGCTTCCGATACTCAGATATTGGTACACAGAGATACAAGACGGAGCAATACAATATAAGTATTTAAACCGCAATAACTATTATTTCTTGAGACACTTGAGGGGTTAAGGTTGCTCTAAAGGGTTAGGTTAGGAGTGTTATTGGGGAACTCTCACCTCAAATGAAAGTGCTTCTGGAATGTCCATATAACAGGGAACTACAACCATTAATGGAATACAAATATTTTTCTTGGCACACTTGAACAGTAACATTATTGCGCATAGATTGAACACCTTTGGGATGAATTAAAGTGGAGACTGCGAGCCCGGCCTTCTCCTCCAACATCAGTACCTGACCTCACAAGTGGTCCAACATTCCCATAGACACACTCCTAAACCTTGTGGACGCCTTCCCAGAAGAGATGAAGCTGTTATAGCCGCAAAGGGCGGAGCCAACTCAATACTGAACCCTACGGACTAAGACTGGGATGCCATTAAAGTTCATGTGCGTGTAAAGGCGTCCCAATACTAATGGCAATATAGTGTATCTATAGTTATCAGTGCGTAACCATTTTCGCTCAGGGCAATTTTTAGTTGCATGATATGTGCAACTGTTTACCAAATCTATAATTTTAAGGAAAAAATACACTAAAATTAATTTTGGTCACGCAAACACAATTTTATCCCCATTTTGTTTGTGTAAAATAAAAAGATGGGGTTGTGTCGGGTAGATAGATACCAAATATGACAAACGTCAAAACTGTCTGCCTGCAAAATGGCAAAAACGTATGGTGTCCAAAAGCCATTACCGCTCATCAGTGTAAAGTTGACCATAAGGGACCTAGAAATTATTTATCTCACACGCGTGTGTGGTGATTCCCAATATGTCTTGCGCATTCGTTGTCTACATACACATGGGCACCCTACACACACATTTGCATTTTTGTGCACCAGGGTGCTTTTACTTTTTATTTATTTTAATATAATTTCATTTTTTAACACTTTTTTTTTCCACTTCACTTTATTGATATCACAAGAGGGCTAATTACACCCCACCACCACCACCACCTATGTGATAGCATTGGGGAAGTGACAGATTGCTTTATGGTGACATCAGGGGTCTCTTAAACCACTGACGTCTCCTCTGCTTTTTGCTCCAGTCATACAAGCACCAGGTTGGCAGCCCTGAACCCAGAAATGCTCAGAGCTAGGTGCTTCCTGGTTCACACTCTGCAGAGGACATCGGAGAACAGATGCCATCCTGTTTGTTGTGGTCATGGGATCCTGGGAGGAGTGGACAAGGCCAGTAATCATGATGGGGGGTTTGGCAGGGGAGCTTGTTTTAACCTCTTGAAGCCTGGACGTACCACAGACATCCTAAGAGCTCAGGGGGTTATGTGTGTCATTGAGCTAACTGAATAGGACATAAGAAGTCCAGGAAAACATGTGACCAAACTTGGGACTTGTATTTCATTGTTTCTCTTGTATATGGACATTTCGGTATAACTCTTTGTGGTGTGGATTGTGTGTGACTGTGGGGGGACATTAGAGTGTAAGCTCCTCTGGTACAGGGAATGATGTGACTGGCTCAGTGTCCTCTGTACAGCACTGCGGTATATGTCAGAGCTATATAAATGTATAATAATAGTGTGTGACTGTGAGGGGAGAGTAGAGTGTAAGCTCCTCTGGTGTAGAGAGTCACGTCCCTGGCTCAGAGTTCTCTGTACAGCACTGCGGTATATGTCAGAGCTATATAAATGTATAATGGTGTGTGACTGTGGGGGGACATTAGAGTGTAAGCTCCTCTGCGCAGAGACTGATGTGACTGTGGGGGAGGGGGGGGCATTAGAGTGTAAGCTCCTCTGTACAGAGACTGATGTGACTGTGGGGGGACATTAGAGTGTAAGCTCCTCTGTACAGAGACTGATGTGACTGGCTCAGTGTTCTCTGTACAGCGTGGCAGAATATGTTAGAGAAATAGAAATGAATAATACAAATGTAAATAGAACTGGCCCTGGGGAGTGCAGGGGCCCCTTACCTCTCTGCCTTATATCGAGTTGTCACCTGTCATTCAGGAACCTGGAGACGGGGATATATCCACGACAAGTCCTAACTGGGGACTGCGCTCCGACAGTCCCTAGGACGGCTGTAATAAAAGCCTGGCATTGCACTTAGAGCCTAATCTTTGAACCTTCGCTGCAATAGGTACAAAGGTGGGAATCCTTGTGCCTGAGTGCTGGTGACAAGCTGTACATGACAGGAGATTCACAAACCAAGACCCTTGCACAACCCATAAATGGCTTACAAAGGCCAATACCTTGCAGCGCATTAACAGTTAAAGAGACCCTGTCACCAGTATAAAACAAGCAGATAAGAGCACAGAAAAATAAAAGTACTTTAAATGCTTACTTGCACAGTTTTTCCTTTCCATAAATTATTTTTTGATTCCCCTGCAATGTGTCTCTGAACTTGCTACAAAATGTGACTACTTCAGGAAGCAAAGCTCCTTCCTGGGAGTCAATGGCGAACCGAACCAAGCAGTGAGACTGCAGCTTCCTGCACAGGAGCGTACTGGATAAACTATGAACTGGACCATGCAATGGGACTGTAAACCCCAACACATGAGCAAACCAGTAGAACAGTGGACCTAGACCAGGCAGTGAGACTGCGGACCCAGGTAGAGGAGAGTAGCAGATAAACAGCAAACTGGACCAAGCAGTGGGACTGCAGCTTCCTGCACAGGAGCGTACTGGGTAAACGATGAACTGGACCATGCAATGGGACTGTGAACCCCAACACCTGAGCAAACCAGTAGAACAGGGGACCTAGAACAGGCAGTGAGACTGCGGACACAGGTACTAGAAAATTTGACTACTTCAGGAAGCACTGCCCCTGACACAACCCCTTCTGGGAGTGAATGGCGAACTGGACCAAGCAGTGTGACTGCAGATTCCAAAACATGAGTGAACCAGAAGAACAATAAACTGGACCAGGTAATGGGATTGCGGACACAAGCACAGGAGCGTACTGGATAAACGATGAACTGGACCATGCAATGAGACTGCAAACCCCAACACATGAACAAACCAGTAGAACAGTGGACCTAGACCAGGCAGTGAGACTGCAGACCCAGGTAGAGGAGTGTAGCAGATAAACAGCGAACTGGACCAAGCAGTGGGACTGCGAACCCCAGCGCATGAGCAAATCAGTAGAACAATGAACTGGACCAGGCAATGGGATTGCGCACACAAGCACAGGGGAGTACTGGATAAATGGCAAACCAGACCAGGCAGTGGGACTGCAGAACCCAACACATGTGCAAATTAGGAGAACAGTGGACTGGACCAGGCAGCAGAATTGTGGACCCAGGTACAGGAATGCACCAGATAAACGGCAAACCGGACCAGATGGAAAAAGTGCAACAGATTCCTCCGTCTACGCTAAACTGTGTGGCTGGAGGAATCTCCCGCTGGTCCAAGCTTCAGTATCTTGCTAGTCGGCCCCGCTGGCTCTCATAACACCTGAACAATGCCGGCATCTAATCAGATTGTTCAGGCATTTTGAGAGCCAGAGGGGGCACAGTTTGGGAAGGGGGAGATCCATTAACAGGCACTAGGAGTCTGTCTGTAGGCTTTTAAAATGTGAGCGTGCATCCAGTAAAGATTCCCATGAACTGGAGTCACTGACACTCCATTACATAAGTAAGGAATCCTTAGTCTGAATGTGGACCTTTAGGGCTTGTTCACACGACGTCCGGATTGTGTCCAGACCAGAACCGTGCGCTCCAGCACCCAAAATGCATCCCAATGTATCCCTATGTGTTTTATGGGCTACAGTTCTCACGTGCGCAGTCCATTCCGGTCCGGAGAGAGAAAATACTGCATGTCACATTTTGTCCGGTCCGGATACGGTCCGGAAATGCATGAACGTGTCAAAAACACAACGAATTCTGAGCCTGGTGACGGGGACCCAACGTGGCCCCGAAAGTACTTGTGATTTTGAATGACCGTTGTCATTAAAATATATTGAATCTACTTTTGGAGTGCTGGTGACATCTTTTGGAATTACTACTTGACTACACGGTGCCTCCGTGGTCACTACAAGCACCCTATTACAGACATCATCTCCTAGGAGATCCGGTAAGGAGTGCAGGAAGATACATACAATTTAAAAACACAACGAAAATGCGCAGCCCCACTCCACAAAAAAAAATTATATTTTTTTAAACTGGAACGCGGTAAAAACACATAAAAAACGGACTGCACTCATAGCACCACATCTGCAGATCTGCTCCAGATCTGGACCACAAAATGCTGTGAACAAGCTCTTAAAGTGTGATTGTCTACAAGTAAAAGGTCCCATCAACCTCTGGTGGTAGGAAATCCATGCACAGGCTCCAGTAGTCTGCATGTGGGCTTTTACAGCGTGACTGGGAATTGGTTAGGTGTTAAATGAACGTCTTTACTATGAAGTCATCAGCATGTTACATAAGGATGGAATCCCCTTTGAGTTCCTCACTATCTGACTGGAGGTCAGACTAGGACTAGATTGAGTATCCACCCACAGGCTTCAATAGTCTACATTTGGTTTGTTTTAAATGGGAATTGCTAAAGGGAACCCCTCTACCAGCACACTGGAGTGTGTCTGTGGTCCGGTTTGCTGTTTAACCAATATACAGGTGAAACTCGAATAATTAGAATATCGTGCAAAAGTAATTGCAGTAAGTGCTGCAAAAGGGGCCCAAACCAAGTACTGAGTACATATGCATGCTTGTACTTTGCAGAGGTCCGATATTGTTCTATGTACAATCCTTGTTTTATTGATTGCATGTAATAATCTACTTTTTTGAGGTTGTAGATTTGGGGTTCTTGGGGTTTTCATGAGCTGTAAGCCATAATCATCACAATGATGACAAATCACGGCTTGAACTATCTCGCTTTGCATGTAATGAGTCTCTCTCATATATTAGTTTCACCGCATAAGGTGCATTAGTGAAATAAATTAACTTTGCACGATATTCTAATTATTTGAGTTTCACCTGTACTCCGGTGCTGGGGTCCACAGTGCCAGTGCTTGGTTCAGTTCGCCATTCACTCCCAAAACAGGTGAGGGCTATGACATTGTAATCTGATAGCGGTGCTAGCCAATCCTCTGCAACCGCTGTACGGCCAATGATTTTCCAGCCTGTCCTTTTGGGAAAAGTCAATCTAATGGTCGATATCTGTTGAGATGATAGAGCCCCCCATGGATGGAATTTCAGCCAATTCCTGGTGAATCAGCCGAAGTTCTCTCCATGTGCACCAATCTTTAGTAAATTCCCCTCAGTGTTTATAAACATTGTTCAGCCGTGAGATACAAAGTAACATTGTTTCTTTTATATTTACTCATTCATCTGCAGATCACAGAGGTGATGTCATTTAAAGCAACACTAAACTCCGGAGAGAAATCTTACAAATCCATTCAGGTCCCTGAACTCTGAACAACAATGGATCTTATTTGTGTATCACTCGGCTGTAGATCCTCCAATCATCTCTGACACTGTCCTTCCTTCTGGAGGGGGGCTACGTCTGTTCCCCATGGTCTCTGTATCTGTTGTAAAGTAGTCACCGCTCCGAGCTCACTCCCGGGATCGACTACAATCTCAGGTTTAGTTTACTGATTTGTATTATTATAATAAAGGATTTATAGAGCGCCAACAGTGTCAATCACAATACAATTCAAGACAAGATGGTAAGGAGGGTCCTGCCCCTGAGGGCTTACAATCTAAAAGAGATTGTAGTCCATCCCGGGAGCGAGCTTGGAGCGGTGACTACTTTACAGCACACACAGGGACCATGGGGAACAGACGTAGCCCTCCTCCAGAAGGAAGGACAGTGTCAGAGATGATTGGAGGATCTACAGCCGAGTGATACACAAATAAGATACATGGTTGTTAGTAGTTAGGGGTTAGGGTTAGACCTCTGTGATCTCCAGATGAATGAGTAAATACAAAAGAAACAATGTTACTTTGTATCTGCAGCTGTATGATTTTTATAAACACTGAGGGGAATTTACTAAAGCTTGGTGCACACGGAACGTTTAGGTACCTGCATGTATTTTTTATCTTCAACTCCTGAGTTTAGCGTCACTTTCAAGCAAGCTGACAAGTGAAAAATAAAAATTGTTTCTATTTAACTCTTAGTTAACCC